GTGACTTGGAAATTCTAACATATTACAATACTGATCATAGCATTAGCATATGTTATCATTACATTATAGCATTATGATTCTAACATAATATGCCTGTTACCGTGCTCAAATAGGGTAACTAACAGAAAGTGAGTTGGGGAGGGGGAGAGAGAGAGAGAGAGAGAGAACACAGACTAGAGAGAGCAGGTGAGGTTAAAAGCTCAGCTTTCAAGTCTGTTGTGACACTAATGAACAGATATTAGTTGAAAGAAAAAAACTTGGTGATCCAAATGTGATTCTAGACTTTGAAAAGAGCTGTTTATGTAATCCAATCCTGGAAATGTGTGTGATACAATGTTTCTATCGACTTACACAAAGATTTGCTTAAATCAAACCTGTCTCAGACTCGAGTGTTAATTGATCACCAAGAGCTCCTTGGGAATCCAGAGTCCCACATTGCCCACCCCCCCAACTCTCTTCCCCTCCCCCGCTTTTCAGAAACCCAAGGAGGCCTGAGCATCTTGCACTGTAGTGCAAACAGATCCCCGCAAGACAGAGGAAGATAAAATGAATTTAAATTCCAAAAGGGTTCCAGTGCTGGTTTCCTAGCCCCCGACTCAGCAATGTGTTTGTGAAAATTCAGCCTTTTTGTCTCCCAGTAAAAAGAAGCTAAATCTACATCGGTGGCCCAGTCTCGGGTTGCTGCTATTCTTTGCATTTTCTATCCGAGTGAATGAGAGTGAATGAAGTGGCCGGGACCCTTCATTTGATCTACTCAATTGCATAAAGTGACAGAATTCTAATATATTTGTTTAATGCTCTTCGATGGGTTTTCACTTTTTGCTTGCAAATGAAGCATCCGCGGGCAAAGCTTCTTTCCCCTTTAACACTGGGACATATTTCATAACTCAAGCCATGGTTTGAAGTGATCTTGAGAGGAGTTTTAGTCTCAAAAAGTGGAAAAGAAAGAAACAGATGTGAAGTTATTGTGAATTCTTAGAGTGGGCTCTGGCACTATTGTGCCCCACGGCGGGCGGTCCAGGGGGCTAGGCCTTTCATGCTGTAATTGAAACATATTAATTAGATAATTTGTTGTTAGTTTAAACGAAACAAATGCATCCCCTTTGAGGCTTCACAGCCAGTGAGTTAGGTTGTTTTTGTTTTGTTTTGTTTGGGTGTCTCCGTCTCTGTGCATATGTGGCTTTTAGAAGAAAAAAATTATTGACATTTATATTAAGAATTTCAGAATAAATCCTGATTCTGTTTCTCCACTGAATACCTTTCACAAAGGGAGTTCTCATTTGTAAAAGTATAAACCATTCCTTGTCCCTGCACTCTACACCACCTCCCCATCCCTAACTTTGCATAAATGATTGTAAAACCTACTGTCTATGGCCTGGATCCTTCCTCACACCCGTTAAACTTACGCTCCTCCAGCACTGGGCCAGCTTCATGCTTCCAAGACACTCAATGTTCTTATCCATTTAAAGGAATTAAACTCACTGCTGGAATATTTAAATCACTCTGAAAATCACGCTAGCAGCTTCTTTGAATCTTCAGGCTTCTCAAAACCCCCAAGTCAGCCAGGAGGAAGAGTGAGAACTTCTACAGCTTCCCTCTAGAGAAAGTGCAAGAAATCCATCCATTGTGTAGCATTTCTCAAATCACAGAGAAAATTGTTTAAAAATACAGTTAAATTGTGTTAAAAACCATAAGTAACAGAGTTGCCAAGTTTCCGAATCAAGAACCTAAATTTTAAAAACTCAATACTGCTCAAATTGATGAAGTAGAAAATAATATAATCTTGTTTTTCAGGATAACACACACCTATCTCACTGAATGGTATTGTCTCCTCCAGTTGTATTTTAAAGCTGTGTATATTGACTTTGGACTTGAGCCAGGTGAAAAGATTTAACATGACAAAGAGAACCATTGAAGATATCACAGTTATAAACTTCCTCATTTGTGGTGCACTTCAGCTGAACAGCGGAAGTGTGAAAGCTGGAGGGTAAAGGCAGGGATGCAGGGGTGGGAATAGTGGCATGGGTGTTTGGGCGCCTTTGGATTTCTGATCAAGCTCAAAATATCATCAATTTTTTCCTTTACTCATTCAACTTTGTCTGAAAAAAACATGCCTGCAATCATGAAAGAAGGGATCACAAGGCCCAAGTTATTTCATTCTTTGCAATACAGCTCCAAGATCATTTTCATGTACTGAGTTGAAATCTCCCCTTTGCTAAAAATCAGAGCTAGGATCTGTACTTTATTGTTTTTCTGTATTAAATGTGTGCATGTATACATCACCTCTATCTGAATTCTAGTGCCTATTGTAGGAGGCATATTTTACTTGAACTATCTAAGCTGATGTTTTTAAAATATTTGAGGCCCATGTTAGCTCTTTATTCTCCTTTCATTCCCAGCTCAAATTCAGTGCTAATAAATTTGATGCAATTAGAATATTCCAGATATGGTCTTAATTTTATTTTGTAGTAAACTGTGAAAAAATATCTTGAATGTCCTAACATGTACTGATTTCTTGTTGAGAGCTAATTTTCAAGAGTTTCCTAGGGTAGCTAAGTTTTCCAGGCTTTCTTTGGACGATCTTGTTGATATAATTGTGAATTGGGCTTGATGAATGAGTTCAGTTGTCTCCTGTCTGACGAGCCTTAGTAACTTCATGCATTTTAATCAGTCCAATGATTCATTTATTTTCCACTTTTTTTTTTTTTTGGCCTGTGTGTGGGATCCTTCCTTTAAAAAAAAAAAGGATTAATTACCTTTTGCAATAATCCTGAATTGTTTTTCAGGTAGCCCTCTAAATGTTTAATAGTCACAGGTACTAAAGTTTCTCCTTATGAACTACGTGGAGCACAGTTTCTGTGTGGGTTTCTCTGTGTTGCACAAGGGTCTCTTGTTTAATCATTTTACACAGCAAAGTGTTAATCGTCATTTAAGTTTCTCTTTGTGTTGTAACTTCATTAGTTGAATACACACCTCAGTCTAGAAATACTGTGACCCCTTCAATAAAGTTTCAGTTAGCCTTGAGCCACAAATTCTTTGCAAACTTTAATTCTTTGCAAAAATTTGAGGAAAAGCAAATACACATTTTAAGAAGCTTCATTCACATCTTTAAAATAAATGCATCAAGAATTATTCTTTCACCTGAAGGAGTGAAAGAAATCTATTCAATCCAGAGTGAACAGGTTTCTGGACATGTAAAGTGAACTTTTAGATGATTTCTACAGGAAGAAAACTTCAAGACCTGCAAGAATTTTAAGGATGAAGGAAATGAAATCTCCCTCCAAATAAGATGCATCAGAAAGTAAGTATTCAGTAAGCAAGTCTGGTTTACTTTTGAAATCTCCTACCTGATTTCTACAAGCCTTTTATTTCTATAAGTGCTGTATATTTATTTCATAAAAGGTATATTTAAGATAGATAAAATACATATGAAATACTATATTTTTTCAATAACAGTTTTTCTTTTAGCACTATATCTGTACACCTGATTTATAATAGAAATATTTTGCCACTTCTTTTCCTTCCCCAGTCCATGGAATAATTCCTCCCACAATCTGAAAGTACACAGAAGAGGCTTTGCTTTTCTCAATATGATATATAAAAGGGAAAACACCCAGACAACGCACTGTGAGAAGCATGCTTAGGGAGTCACTTCATCCATCTTTTATGAAGTTGTTTGTACCAACTCTTCAAAAACACACAAAACTAAGATTTGAATTTACATATTTTAATGAGAAAATATTATTTAGACTAGGTCATAATTTAATGTAGACACCTTTTTAAAATTCTTTGTCTTAAAACAGGCATGCTGAGAACAAGAACATCAATATTTAAAATGCCATGCTAATTCTGTACAGAGAGGAAAAAAAATGAGAGAAAAAAAATGAGAGGAAAAATTTTACAGCTCTGATGTTATTACATTTTTTTTTTTAACTTAAGCAGGTCACACCAGACCAATAGTTCACTTTCCAGTAAATTACCTAGGACGCTAAAGGAGTATAGCAAACAAAAGTGCATTTTACACAGTGTAAAATCATTCCTATTCACAACTGTTTACATCTCTTTGCAGCCCTGTAGCTTCATGGAAAAGTTCTTGTAACAAACAGAGACTTATCCAGGAAAAACTATCTGTTGACATCACCTTTGTGTTACCAGTCAGCTTATTTAAGTTTTTCCAGGGTTGCCCTTGGTACTTTCTTGGTTTGGGCTTATTTAATTTTTCCTTTTTTTCCTTCCTTCCTTCCTTCCGTTTCTTCTTTCCATTTTTCTTTCTTCAGTAAAATAAATAGCTAAAATGGTCTCTAAGTAGTAAGAAAGTTAACATCCCAATTAACTTTCCCATCCCCCCTTCCCTCCCCTACACTTGGCCAGAAATGAAGAGTAAACATTCACATTACGACAGGTACTTGTAAAGTGGGCTTTGCCCAGTTGCCCGCTTAGCAAGACAGATTCAAGTTCACTGTTTACACTTTACCGGGCGATTTGTAAACAATATAAGGTGACTATGAGTTTTATTTTGCTTGTGTGGAAAACAAGAGTCCCCTTCTCAGCTTAGCAGCCTCTCTCCTAACTCCCAGCGTCGGGAGCCTCTGGCAGGAAACAAAACCCAACACAAAACAAAATCTCCGCAGAAGGGAGGCAGAGCCGCGAGCCTGGAAGCTGTGATCCGCCTATCCCCGGACTGATGGGCGGAGGCGAGTGGGGTGGGGAGATTAGTGGCTCCTGGTGGCCGCAAATTCCCAAGACCTAAGCAGATCCGGCCCTCCGCGGTGAGGCCGCAGCCCTTCGGGGGTGGCGGTCTGCACAGGAAACCTCGGAAGTAGTTTCTCTAGCCTGCAAATTGCGCAGTCCTTAGCTCTGAGGACACAGCCCGGGAGAAGACAGGCTTTTCTTTGCGAAGGCGGGCGGCAGGATGTCCCCCCCCCCCGTTAAGTGGGAGGGGGGTTCGGGGCCCGTGGTTGAGGGGGCGGCTTGGCTCGGGGAGTCTGGGCTTTCCCCTGTAGTAGGAACGAAGACAACTCTCATGCGCCTTACGGCAAGTTTGTGTCTTTTCTATTGGGTCCAAAAACAAAGTTCTCTTGAGACAGAGAAAGAGAGGAAGAGAGGGTTGGCTGAAGGTGAAATGCACAAGTTAGGATGCGGAGGTCGGAGAGGGCTGGATGGGGAGCCGGGGAGGTTAAAAGTGAGGTGATGGAGTAGGGTACAGGAGATGGCGCCGGCTTCTGCGGGTCAGTGCACCGCCACCGAATGCAAGGCGGAGGCCGGGCTGGTGAGCGTTTCGCTGGGTGTGGCGGGGCTACTTTGGCTGGTGGCTGTTTGCGAGGACGTGGGGCTGAGCGAGGGCGGCGAGTTCGAGAGCAAGGTGGGGATGGGCGCGGGCAGCGCGGGTAGCGCAGGCACTGCGGCCGGCGTGGGCTTGATGGGCACTGGGATGGCCGGCAGCGTCTGGCCCGCTGCGTGGCACAGCGGCTTCAGCGGCACACCATAGGCGCTGTAGTCGCCACTAGCCATGGAGATGGGGGTGGCCGAGTCGATCATGCCTGCAGAACCGTACACGTGTGGCCAGCCAGTGCCCAGAGAACTGCCCATGGTAGTCAATTGGTTGGGGAGCGGGTAGGCAGCGGGAACTGGCTGCATGGCAGAGAAGGCCAGCCCCCCGGGCATCTTGTATTCCCGCGCGATGATGTTCTCGATGGCGAAGGGGTGCTTGAAGCCTGAGGGCTGCGCCACACCGCCCAGGTTGTAGGCAGCGGTGGGCATCTGCGGCAGGTGCGTGCCCGAGGCGGCGAGCGCGCTGAGCCGCAGCTTGGCCTGTTGCTGCAGGTACTGCGCCGCGTCGGCGGGCTTGCTGGGCGCCAAGTGGTCGGACTTGAGCACCTTGAAACGCTTGCGGCGCCGCAGGAAGCTGCCGTTCTCGAACATGTCCCCGCAGCTGGGATGCAGCGCCCAGAAGCTGCCCTTGCCGGGCTGATCTGGCCGCCGCGGGATCTTGATAAAGCAGTCGTTGAAGGAGAGGTTGTGGCGCAGGCTGTTCTGCCAGCGCTGCGTGTTCTCTCGGTAGTAGGGGAAGCGGTCCATGATGAACTTGTAGATCTCGCTCAGCGGCAGCATCTTCTCGGGCGAACTCTGGATGGCCATGGCGGTCAGCGAGATGTAGGAGTAGGGCGGCTTCTGGTCGCTGTACGTGTTGCGGCCCGGCCGAGGCATCGTCTTGCTCACGGTCCGCGCGGGCTGGCGGACAGGTCGGATCTGGGAAGGGGGGAGGAAGTGGAAGGAGGGGTAGCAAGGATTCACAGAGACACCGCGAGGTCAGCCAGGCCGAGGAACTGACTTCGGGATGGGGAGTAGGGGATGCGCCTCTGCATCCGCCCGCGCCCGCGCGCTCCACCCAGCAACTTTACTCACTGAACTGGACCCGGGGCGGGGAAGCCGGCGAGTGGCGCGAAGGTAGCAGGAAAGTAAGTGGGACCTGGAGCAAGGGCAGGGTTAGGGACGGAACTGAGAACTGCTCACCTTAAAGTTGCTCCAAGTTGCGCGTCCGCATCCGGGATGGCGCCTTTGGTCGCCGAGTCCCTCCCGGCGCGCAGCCCAAGAGCAGCGCTGAGGGTGTGCTGGACTCGGCACGAACCTGGGCTCTTGAGCTCAGCCCGGCAGCGGCCCGCGTCGCCCGGTCCGCGGCGCTCCTGGTCGTGCGTCCCGCGGTCGGCCGAGCTCGGCGGCGGAGTCCGGGAGCGGACGTTGACGACCGCGGCGGCCTAGGGGCTCTGGAGGGCACTGCAGTGGGCTCCGCGACTCCGCTGAGCTAGGTGGCTGCCTCCATGTCCTCCCTCGAACCATCTGATAGTTTCAAGCGGTGACAGGAGCAGAAAAGACCCCTGTAGCGGCGCTTCATTAATGTGCCACTTCTTAGCTATCATATGACAATCGCCTTGGGAGGAGGAGGAAGAGGAGGGGGAGCGGGGGTTGCAGAGGGAGGGGACTGAGCGAGAGAGGAGAGCCTGGGCAGCTCTGGTTTCTTTCACACCTATTTACATGGACACCTTGGCCAATAAGAATCACTTCCAGCGCAAGACTGGGCGAGGGGGAAGAGCCTCTGGCCACTGGCGGGGAGCGGGAATCACCGGCCGGTGTGCGCTGTGTGAAGGTATGAGGCGACAGCGACGCAGAGCACGGAGCCAGGCGACCACTCAAGCTCACAGACGGAGCTGCCGCCCGCGCAGATGATGTTTGACATGGAAATTGCTTGGCTGGGTATTCTGTTTCCTCTGCATTGTATGGGGTTTGTATTGTTAGCTAACTTCAGGCACGGCTTTCTCCTGAAGCCGACCCTTTTCCTTTGCTTGGCACTACCCGGGGTTGGTTGCATGGGTTGTTATACTGAAAACATATCCTCTCCCCTCCCCCCAGTCCTCCAAGAGGCAGGTCGAAGATTGATTTGACCTTCCTAAGTTGCTGCTTCACCTCTGCACAGTTAGGTGTGTAGCTTTCAAAAAGTGATGAGGTTTTCCAAATACAAAATGTAGTCGGACAGCCCGTTTTGAATCCAAATGCATTGGCCAAAAGAAAAAGGTGTATCTGGGCGAAGAGGCAGATCTTAGCTTTAAAAATCTTACAGCAATTTGGTTGGACACAGGAGGGAGGACAGTGTGCGGACCTGGGGAGGGCCTGAATTTGTTTGACACGCTTTATTACCAGATGAACCGAAGGGTCTCTTGCTTTGAAACTTTAGGAGTTAGGCGTTTCCTGGAAGTTTGAAAGTTTTGCATTTTACAGCCGGAACATCCCCTCCCCTTTCACCACCACCCCCCCTTTTAACGATGGAAGAATTTATTTAGGGGGTCAAGTAAAAGCTATCTTTGGTCCCATTCCTTCTAAAACTTGGAAAGAACCAGCAAGTTTTCCTTTTTGGGGGGATGAGAGGGAGGACGGAGATGAGGGTAGGTGATGCACCTCGGGTCACTCGCCGGGTGCGGCTCCTTTCAATTCGGATTTGCCGTGTGAGGGTTAAATGAATCATTATCATTATCATCATCGTCGTCGTCATCACCATCAAACTGCTATGAAATAAATAGTGAGGCGACTTCGCCTGCGTGCACGCAGTCTATGAGTAGACGCCAGGAGTTCCCACGCGTTTCTGCACATTCTCCTTGAGCTCAGACATTGACCTTTATGGTTTTCAAAAGAAATCCATTTTACTGTGTTGTTAAAAACTCAATACCTACACAGAATCATCTTTAAAGTCCGGAAATGTGAGATTTTTTTTTTTTTTAGTTTCAGGAGGTGGCTGTGGGGAGGTACCGTGTGAAGTTTCTCCACTTTTAAGTGATTTTATTTATTATTAGAGCAGCTGTTTGGAGTTAACATTCTAAAAAAGATCTTTCAGCGCGCGCGCACACACAACTTCATTAACCACAGTTTGGGGGGGGGGTGGTCAATAACTCACCAAAACGTAACTTAAACACGATGACTTTAGGAGATTAAACAATTTCATTAATATTGAAATGGCTCTCCCGTCTGCGCTGCTTCGTTTGAGATGCAAGCGCACGTTTTTCAATATTAACAGAAGTGCTTGAAGAAAAGAATGTCACCTTCTTAATTCGGAAAAAATAACCAGGAGGAGGAGGTGGGTGCAAGGAAGTGGGGGAGGAGATGTTGACCTGTCTCTGGGGCAAGGCTGGAGCAGAGCAGATAAATGTATCGCTCTTCTCCGAAGATTAAACAGTAGACTCTGGTGGAACCTCCGCCGATCTCCGACTAGAGGCAGGGCAGCTCTGCTCGCCTGAGCTGCGCGCGCTTCAGCTCCTGAGGCTATGTGATTTGGGGGCGTTCTTGGCGTGCCTGTGTTTTGTTAGAGGGTCCCAGAGTGAGAGGAGCTGGGGAATCCAAAGAGCTGGAGAGGATGAGGGACACTTGAGGACGAATAGGGAGTAAGGCTTGTTGTCTCCCAGCATGGAAAGGAGCTGGTTCAAGTCTTTCTTGCTCAAGACTACAGCTGGCCTTAGAGGTATAAAACAGAGTTCCTGAAAGCGAGGCAGGAGCACTCCGAGGTGCCGGTATCCAAGTCCCCAAGTATTTTTAAGATCCTTTTAGCAAACATGTGCATCAATCCATACTGAAATATAAAGACAGATAAAATATTTAGGGTGGTTGGATTCGAAATGGTGAACGTAGGAGTTAAAGATCTCTGTTCTCTCAGTGATAGCCAGGAAAATTCTTTTCTTTTCTATCCAGTATGGGTGCGTGCTGAGGATAGGGAATGGGAAAAAGAACAGTGTTTTCTTACTTTAACAATTGGCATTTTGTTGCCTTGCAAAAGGCCATTGTATGGCTGTCGAAATCATTGCTCAAAGTAAATAGAAGATTAACTAAATTCTAAGAGTGGAAACGTTCGGGTTAAAAAAAAAAAAAAGCCCCGAGTTGGAATAAATCTTTGTGCATCTGCTGAGGAGAGCTGTCACCACTAAGTTTGGGACCTTCGATGATACAAGTAAGAATTCATGTCTGAGGAATCTTCAAAGTTTGACTAAGTACAAACAGTAGCAAGACACACTGCCCGTGCCCTGACCTAATTAAGTAAACGGAACCTAATAACCCAAGTTTGCCTTGCAAGGGGAGGGAAGTTGTGCGACTGGCATTTAAAACAGGTGCTTTGAAACAAAGTTTATCTGCTTTCCTGCTGGAGGTCTACAAAGCCCGGGGGAGGGAGGAGGTTTTGCATGGTATTTACAGCATTTTAAAACTGGTATTATAAAGAGCAGGAGGGAAAAAGCACTTTACAGAAATCTTGAAAAGGACATCAGTCTATATTGTACAGAACCCAAAGCAAACAGAAGCTAGTGCGGAGGGGGGCACATCCGACCCGGGGGTTTAGGGAGTTGTTGGGAAAACTGTATAAAATACACATAAGTCAATTATACCCATGTGCAAACCAAATGGAAATCTCTTTCGTGCAATAGCCATTCATCGCCTCTGCAGAGCCTACCACCGACCACCTTTCTGCTTGGAGAGTTCGCAATAGCCTCTTTTCCCACAAGCTGGACCACACACGGCTACAGATTTCGTAATAATTTATGCTAATTTCCCTCCATAAATCCACAATTCGCTTCAGTGGCACCCGGGCTGCTGAGGGAGTAAAAAGGAGACAGAGGGGTGACAAAAACAATATTGATTTTGATTCCTTCTGTTGTGAGGCAGGTGTGTGTGCACGCCAAGGGTGGGGTTGGGTTTAGGGGCGGGGGCTCCAGGACAGGGAAACCAACTCTAGCCTCCTCCACCAGCCCCTGCATCCACACTCCAGAAAAATGACGCTCCCGGGTTTGTTAATATTTACCAAACACGGACGGGAGGTGGAGGGAAAGTACCCAGCAGCTTCGAAAGGTTTCCTAGGCGCCAAAAACAATACCCGCCATTCCTACTTGGAAAGTGAACTCGGCGCTGCCTGGAGCGTTGCGGCTTAGCCTTGCTTTCCACCCCTCCTTCTTCTTTCTTCCTGAGCCCCCCTCCCCGCGCTTCTCCAATCTGAGTCTCTCTCTCCCTCTCCCATCCTCTTTCCCCTCTCTACTGTACTTCGTCCTTCCCTTCGCTTCACTTTCTTCCCCCGTCTTTTCTAACCAACTTGGCAGCGAAATGTGCGGAGGGGAGAGGCCTTGGCGTCGTCGGTTTGGGGTTTTAGGGCCTTGGCGGGGCTCCTCTGCCCCGCCCCACGCTTCTAGGCCGCCTCCCGCATTTGCCCCAGTGATCGGCCCGCTCTGGGAACCCGCGCTAACGCACGGCAAGGCTTTGTCCCATCAGTCATTCTTCACCAAATCTGCACTTTGGTGGCGTGAAACGACTTAGCTTTCCTTTCAAAAGGATTTTGTTCCCGGGGTATTCAGTGCTAAAACAAACTCCCTGAGCCTGTCAGTGGTCAATTAAAAAAAATTGCCATCCCGAGTATCCTGGAGGTTGTTTGTCCTCGGGATCTGTGAGCCTCTGTCTTCTCCCTCCCCCTCTCCCTGCACAGCTCTGCGTGGCTTAAACGTTCTGGGTCTCGGGAAAAAGGGAGGGAGGGCACCAGGCAGTAGGCAACTGTGGGTTCGCTGTCCAGAGACCCGCACCCGGCTGGACGCGTGTCAGGGGAAACTTAAATCTGCCATCACTCACTCTCCCGACTCTGACGGTTCTTCCCGGACACTTGGACAAAGTCTGGGTGGAAATCCAACAGCCTAAGCGAGGGAGGTGAGAGAGGGGAAGACACAGTTTTTTATCCACCACCCCTGCCATAGCCCCCCAGCCCTGCTGCGGAAGAAGACCCTTTTGTTAACCAGTACCAAAGGATACCTTCTGGTGAATTGTGCAGACTTTTATTTCATGATTGGCGACTAAGCTACATGGGCCTTGGACCTGAACTCCTAACAGGAAAGTTGAAAAGAAACTTTTGATAAGCAATCAATTGCCTCAAGTCAGTCTCTCTCCTCTCCCATTTCAGTCTTGTCGGGTTTAAGTAAAATAAAAATCTCTGCCTTCACACTCTGTTCCAATCCAAACTGGGAAGTCGGTTTCAGAGGTCTCCCACTTCTTAGAGCTCATCAGAACTTAACTCAGGCGTGGGGAAGACCTCTGGCTGCAGCTGGAGTACCTGTGGATTTTAGTCTGTTTTGCTTGTGGTGGGGGGAAAGGCAGTGGCCTCTTCCAGCACTCTTCAAGAAGCTAAACCAAGTAGCTGCTGCAGTTTGGAGAGTACAGAAGGCCCAATTTTCTTCCATTTCAGCCATAAAAAAAAAACAGTAGCCAGAGTTAGGTGCTAGTCTGATGCAGCCCCCATGCTTAAAAAGTGCCAACCCTCTTTCATAGTGAGCAAGCAATGTCAATGCCTGTGAAAACAGCTCTTTCCCTGCCCTGCACAATAAATACCATCTCTTTGGAATCGGTTTTGCTAAACGCTATTTGATG